TGTAATGCATAAATTTAATGCATTTCATAGATTGTCTTAAGCAGAAAATAACTGCTACCCAGTTATCTGTGCATGAATTGTGCATCAGTGTTTTTAATTCTGAATATGCTTATTGTTTTCTCTTTGGCTGTGTATTTATATTACATAGGTAGTTTAGGTATTCAGCAGTTTCCTAGATAATCTTGTTTCCTGCTTAAATTTTTCAAATGGGCAAAATCAGAACATGTATACAAATATCTTCACTGGTTTTGCAAGCAGTGCTAAGTTGGGGGTTCTAATGAAGGACGGATCTGTAGACCCTCTTCTGCTTGGGTAAGGTTATTATTTTTGATGGAGCCTGCAGCTTCATCAAAGTTGCACATGGCATGGTAAGGAGGCACAGAGACACTAAGCTAGCTAGCCAGTAATTGAGCAAATAGCTAGATGGCCTCTAACAGTTAATGTATTAGCAAACATTATAGTCAGCATTCACATCTATTACTCCTAATGTCTATACCTGTAAAATTACTCCTGGGCACATCAGCTGTAAATTGATCAGTCTCTTTCTATCTTCAGAGAAGTAACTATCTGCTATTGTATAGAGAAAATATTATGATTGATTAGACTAGAAATTAATGCATTTCAAAAGACAGAAGAGAAGTGAATCTTTCCACTTTCATACATGTTATCTCCTTTACCTCCTCACCAGGACTCTCCTGGGAAGAAGCAGTGTCTAGTACGTGAGCGCTCAAGGAGGCAAAGCAATGTAATCAATGTCATATACCCACTAAGCAGCAGAACATATCAAATTCTGGAATGCTTATCTATCACACCACCTTGTATTAGCATCTCCAAAAATGTTTGTACAGTCAGTACATGAAATTTAAATTTTAGAGGAGATAGCCTCATAGAAAGCAAGATGAAAATTTATCCTCATTCTAAAGATGATCAGTAAAAGAGATTTCAAAACATTATTAAATAACGATTTTTTTCTGTGAAAAAATTTTATGCAAAACTGTCTTCCTTTTAAAAACAAAAAGGATATTTTAGCAATAAAATTGTAAGAGGTATTGATAAGCAGTCCTTTTGATGTCTGTGTATCTTATTTAAAAGGAAGACAAGTACTTAGGAGAATAAAAAGGATTAAGATATATTAAGAACATGCACCCAATACTTAAGATAAGCATAAATATATATTATAAACATATTAATAAAATAGTTTTCAAAAATCAGTACAATAAAAGTGGATTTTATTTTATAAAATAAAAACCATATAGTATTTGATCTCAAATGTCCCTCTGAATCAGTGAAGGCATGGTAAATAATTCACTGGTTCTAATTGTCTATATTTTACATCAAATGAGAGTTCATGATGTACAAAAAAAGTAAAAATCAAAAGCATACTTGATAGCAAAAACCAAATATCTTGATGAAAATGATAGGCAAATGATCTGAATAGACAGTTTGCAGAAAAAAAAAAAGATACAAATGGCCAACAAGTGTGTGAAAAAGATTCTCAGCATCACTTAAACAGCAGGGAAATGCACTCAAAACTACAAAGAGCAACCAGGCTTCACCTGGTAGAACTGCTGTTGTTATAACGTCAAAAGATAAGAATTGGCAAGAATGCAGAATAAAGGAAACCCTTGTACTGTTGATGAGATGTAAACTTGTACAACCATTATCCAAACTAGTACAGAGGCTTCTAGAAATAACAAAAGCAAAGCTGTGGTGTGACCCAGCAGTGCCATTCCAGGGTATACTATGTATCCAGAAGAAATGAAGTCAGAATTGTAAAGAGAGGCTTGTGCTCCCACCCTCACTGCAGTACCGTTCACCAGAGCCCAGGTAGGCAAATCGACCTAAGTACCCATCAACAGCTGTGTGAAGACAGAAAATGTGGCAGAACCTTATATAATAGCAATCGTGAAGAAAGGTCGCAGTGCATTTTAATTTTTAATTATTTTATATTATGAAAGATGAAAACAAAATTTCATAATAAAATAAGAGAATAACAATAGCTAATAAATTGTATATCATTACCTTCAAACTAGTTACACAGTATTTTAATGAAGTTGATTAATATAAACTTAGTTTGAAACTTACTCTGCCTTTTAAATCTATAAAGAGGCTCTACTTCATAATTATAAAAATAGTAATTACACATTATTAATATATAATAATACAGAAAAGATGATTTTTAATGATTTTTAAAAGCTGAATTATAAACTACATGAACACTTTAAACAACTAAATCATGGAAAATAATAATTCAATGGCATTCTTTTATTTTCAGCTATTTTCTTGGGAAAAATTGTTTGGAATTACTGAAAAAAGGTAATTTCACCTTGAAGTTTATGTATCTTCTTAAATAATCTGGATTATCTTCAAGTTAGTTTAAATTCACGTTAAATTTCACATAATCTATTTCATAATAGCTTTACATTTATTTACTTCCTCATATCTCTAACAAAGTCTTGGAAGAAAATAACATACTCTTGTAAGTCACACAGAATACTAAAGAGTCGTGAGTTGGAAGAAACGTGATGTCTAGTCATGGCTGACCAAGTGAATGAACTTACTCAAATCCTTTCTTGGTGGGTAAAACCAACATATCAGCATCTGCTCATTTTCAAGAATTGCTGTATGGGAAACTCTTTATTCATCCAGTGCATGTTAATACTTCACGGTTTCCACTTACAGAGATGTGAAGACAAACACAATATAGTTTCTTTCCTTCAGAAACACAGAGGAGGAACATGTAATAAAAACAGAAATTTGAGCTGAATTTGCAGAAGGCTTCTGGAAGGAAGAAATCCCAAAGAAAATGTTGGAGTTAGTAAAGAGAGAACGAGGGAAAAAAGAGGAGAGCATTCCAGGTAGACAGAGCTGCATTTTCAAAGGCAGTGAGTGTGGAGAAAGAAGGGATAAGCTGAGGGGACCTGTGAATCATTCAGCTGGACCAGAAGGGGCAAAGTCAAAGAAAAGGGTGGAAAGGGTGACAGAATCCAGATTATCAAAAGTAACATGCCACGCTGTGGATTTTCATTTTAACTGCAAAGCTGTGAGTAGCATTGAGGACTGATGAAGGATTGTGAAAAAGGGATATGTATTTTAGAATATTTTAGAATTTTTTTTGAAGGCCACATAGATAATGGATCACAGGATGGAAAACTAATTCAGAATCCATGATGTTAGCTTAGGTGAGAAATTGCAAAGATCTAAACTAAGAGAGGCAGAGCAAGGAGGAGAAAAAAGAATGATCATGAAGTGGTTTGGAGACAGAACTGACAGTCTCGTGTTTGACTGGAGACATACAAGAGAAGGGGAAATAAGGGTTAAAAAAGGTTTCAGGTTAAATAAGGGTTAAAAAAGGTCTGGATAAATAGTGAACTTCTTATCTACAAGATAAGGAAGAAAGAAGATAAGAGGTTTCTGGAGCTGGACAGGTTCAATTTTACGCTGATCTCATTATGATGCAGGACATCCTGTAGTGGTGATGTACAAGACAACTGGATAGATAAAATTCACCTGACAATACTATGAACTATTCAAAGGTGCATAACATTACTCTAAGTTTGTACTTTCATATGAGTATCAATTCTTGCAGGGCCATTAGATAAATTATTATGGTACACATGGTCTGCTCAGCAGTATTCAAACAATGTATTTCATTTCTTTATTGGATTTGCTTGCTTAATGGAAATTATGCATTTCCCCACAGAATCACTTCTCTTATCTCTAATGGTTTGTAGCTTCTTGTGTCCATGTGGCTGGCATCTGGACTGGATTGAAGAGGCTACCAAGCAGATGCAGACAGAAGACAGTACTCTGGAACCCTTCTTTCCTCCAACCTCACTGCCTATCTCACATTTTCCTATATGCATTCTTACTCCCAGCTGCCATGGGGTCATCTAGTCTTAGCTTAAATCAAATGTCCTCTGGCTCCAAGTCCCTGATGAAAAAAAATTTATGGAGTTTTGGACACATTACAAGTTTTACAGCTTTACAGCTGAAATCCTTCAGGTCTTCCTGACCTACTGAAGGAAAAAAATATGTTTTATTTTATTGTGATTCCCAAATGTTCTCCCAGTGTGTGCATTTTTCCAATAGAATGTGCTGGTTGTTTCCAGCAATGTGTTTTATATTATCTCAAAGAGTAGGGAAGCTCTGATAGACGGAAACAAGTTAGTTTTGTTGCCAGTAAAAGACAAAATAGAACTTGCCATGAAAAGTGTGCCTGTTGACAAAGTCTATGGATTGTTTGTGTTTCTTTTTTACTGGGTATATCCTACATAAGTCAATGACTATCATAATTGTGTACCATGTTGGCTTTTTAGATGGAGCTTATATATACATATCTTTCCACTGTGTGTTTGTGTGTATATGTATATTTCTATCCTATGTCCTGATAAAGTTCAAAAGGTAGTTGAGCACCTTTGAATTAAACATTTCTTGGATAATGAGCAGGTTTACCAAACATATGCTGTATGGTTTAGATCTAGAATGTTCCCCAAAGTCTTATGTGCTCAGAAATGGGACTTTTGGAAAGTGATTGGATAATGAGGCCTCTAATTTGATCAGCAGGTTATCCCACTAATAGCATTCAGTGGCATTACAAGCAGTCAGTAAAAATTGAGGGTGTGAGCCTCGTTGAACAGAGTAGGTCATAGGGGCATGACCTTGGGGCCTAAGTCTTGTCTGTCCCTTCTCTGAAGGCCTTTCCATTTTTCTCAGTTTCTTGGCTATCACGAAGGAATCCATTTTGTTGTGCCATGCTCTCTCACCATGCTTCTGTTTTGCCATAGACCTCAAGCAACGGAGCTTCCTGACAATCGGCTGAAATCTCTGAGACCATGAGCCCAAACCTTTCCTACTTTAAGTTATTTATGTCAAGTATCTTGGTCACAATGACAAAAAGCTAGCTAAAACATGCCAAAACTAAATTCTGTCTCTCTTGGGAAATTCCAAATGCCATCATGTTGATGTAGCTTGAATACAGGATAGTTAAATGAGCTCACCTTGATAATAAAATCTGCTGTCAGTGGTCCAGTCATTCTCAATATCTCTTTGTCTGGAAATTTCTGGAAGTCCACACTAGAATTATCCACAAGAAAGTTGCCTGTAGAGCTGAGACTGTTTTCACCTTTACCCCCTTGGAGGGTTTTGGTTTCCAGATCTATATATTCAAAAATATAAATAGGAGAGAAAGATGTTCCCAGGGCTACCATAGATCATAAGCAAGTACAGTTCATCAATGAAGTAAAGAGTTGTGTAAAGGAGAATAATCATTCTTTATATGGTTGACAAATTTGATATTGTGATATAAAGAAAACATATAGGCATCAATGGAGTTTATGGTACAAATGAAATTATTTTAAAACTCATCAGCCAAAGCATTCAAGGAGCCCTATCCACAGTCTCTGGCTTCCCAGGTGAACTCTGTGAGTGCCCCCTTTTACTACGACACTCTTCCTTTGGCTAAACTATTTTCCACATATAATATCTAAATTTCCATCTCAATGACCATCAGCCTAAGATACTTTTCAGTTTCCTCTTGTTGCTTTATGAGATCCAGTGCATTACTGAGTTGCCTCCGTATGTGTGTGATTATATTCATGTATTAAATTTAAAAAAACTCTTTTGGGTTGTTCACTACCTATATGGTATCACTAAAAAAAAAAAAAAAAAAAAAAAAAACAAAACAGTATTGGCTTATGGACAAGGGCAACCATATGTAGTGCTTCTTTTTAATATCATTTTAATACTTCAGCGTTATGCATAGATGTGATGTTTCATAAGTGCTAAAGACAGAAAGAAGAATTTGATGGCAAGAGCACTCAAATCTGAATTCTGCCAATGACATTGTCTATGAAGCATCTTTTGTCGTAGGAAGTTAGAGTGTGTTGGAGATGGTGGTGACTACGGTGTGTATGGCAGAGAACACGGAGTTCTCATAGGATTTAGAATAACTGCCTGTTGCATGAAGAAGGATGGATGCACTGAGGCCCTAGGTCTTGGTAGTAATTCTTGAGCAGAAAGATCAAAGTGCTTGTGAATGGTTCTGAGTTTTTTATTCCAGCTTTAATCAGAATAGCTTGACTCAGATATTTCATAGATTAGTGTTTGGGTCAACAACCATGTTAAGATCTTTGGTAATAATAAAGTATCAAGACATTTGTACTGTATTTTCTTAGAGGTTTGAGTTCTATACCATACAGAGTACTAACAGGTGCTCAAAAAAATACACAGAGACTCTCAGATGAAGCCTCTAGAGCCATGCTGGTAAGCATGTCGGGCTTTATGACCTCTCTGGGTAGAGAGGACCCTCCAGGAGAGCACAGAGCACACGGAGGGAACACTGGAGCAGGGAAATCAGGTACTATTAAACAGAGGAAAGCAACAGTGCTGAGCCTCCACCAGCCAGTTTTCACTCCCCAAGCTGCCTTGCATGCAGTTGCAGAAATATTTCCAGGACATGGATTAACTTAATCTTTGAGAAGTCCTGGGGGCCTAGGCTTGGATCTGAGCATCTGATTAAATTTTATCCAGAATCCTCCCAGCTGTCTTTCTCAAGGTACTTCTAATTAAAGATGAGCTGGCTCAATCAGAGATTGCCTAGTCTGGCTCTGATTTGGTCCAAATATTTAGTCAGTCTTATGCTGAACCAATTTCTGGGAATGAAAGGCAAAAGAGCTACAGCAGAAACAGGGCATTATTTACTCCCACATTTGTTTTGCTGAATTACACGCCAAACACAACACAATGCAACACAACAAAACAAGCAAAACATTTTCTAAATACATGTATGCTACCCACAGCTCACTGACAGTGGAAAGAAAAACAGACTTCATATTGCTTTTCATCATTTAAGATTATCATTTGTTGCTCTACCTACCTACCCATCAAGCTGTTGGGACAGTTAAACTAAACAAGGTTTGGTTCAGTGTCTTAGTGATCACGTAATTAGAAGCTATGGGAGACTAATATACTTAGGAAAATAAACTTTTAAATCTTCTGATTTGGGGATGGTCTTGGCTTAAATATTTTATTTCAGTGTCAGTGCTCATGAAAATACTATTTTTGAGTAGGCTTGTTTCACTAGTAGTTAGTGTTGTGCAAATTTCAAGGGAAAAAACAAATAATTTACATGGTAGTGGTGTGCACTCATATATTGTCTTTTGACAAATGAATACTTACTTTATGGGTCTGTTCAGGATTCAAAAAGAATTTGGGTCCAAGTAAGGTGACTTATCAGTGAGTTTTGGTTTTGTTTAAACTGTACTCTATTTATTCTTTTATTTCACACAACTCTTTACATCCCACCTCGTTAATGGAATGTACTTATTTTTATTTTTATAAGACTATATTTTTATAAAAGCAACGTTTTCACACGTTGTAATTTTCCTTTCCCTTGTTTATCTTGCTAGCATGATTTCACTTATAAACCAATTGCCAAAAAAACAAAGTTGCCGCCTAAATCAGTTTCACAGGCATGTGAGTGGGAGAGGAAGAGAAAAGATGATAGATGACCTTGTGGGAATACAGAGACCATCAGACTGGAGGAGATGAGAAATGTTTGAGGGATCAGCTGAAGTAAGCCTTTCAGTGAACCTTTCATAGAATTGCTAGAATACTCCCATCTCTGTTTATAATAGGCAATTTTCTCATTAGAATTTACAGGTTTATATTTAAATAGCACAAAACAATAATAAAAATAACATAGCTGTTTATTGCTACCTTGGCACTACAGAAGATCAGTCCTCAAACAGGACCCATGCGACCATTTGATCTTTGGGTTTCTAATACTTTCTAATCTATGAGGTTAGGAAATAAAAGCAAAAGAATGCAGGAGAAGAAGGAAATATTAGAAAGAGGAAAAAGAAAAAAAGGACAAGAAAAAGATATCAGAGAGAAACAAGAGACAATGAAAAATAATATTCACAAAAGTGTAAGCATATGCGTAACCCATGAACAACCCATTGGGACCATCTATTTTGTATTTTTCAGGATGACTGTGGTTAGAGATAATTACCACAGAAGTCCCCAAAAGATAAACAGAAGCACTCAGGATACCATATTATGATAGAATGGAGAGATTTGTGCTCTGTGCTTTAATCCCTTCTGGGAACAAAAATAAATAATAATGGATAACATTTCCCACCCCCTCCTCCCAAAAAAAAAAAAAAAAAAAAAAAAAACTCACACAACTGAATTTACTCACACAAGTGATCAGGTCCTTTTAAGACAAGGCGAATATGTCTACTTCCATATGGAATGGCAACCACAGTATCATCCACTAGGAAGAAAGAAAGCAGCCTTAGAAACACACAGTTCGACACCAAGTTATTAATTACCTCCAACTTAAAGGTAGCGAGTTAATGTACCTCAGAAACTGACAATTGTTTTCTGTGCATGTTTAAAATGGGAGAACCAGTGTTTGAAATGGGAAGGCAAATTAAAATTTCTACCTCCCTCAGCCCTGGTTAATGTAGGAAGATTTGGACTTTGTAAGAAAACATGAATTTTGATATGTTGAAAAATATATTGGCAAGTTTCCCTTTTTGATTTTAAAATGGTTTTATGTCATTAAATTTGCTGAAATTAGAGCATTTGCATTGAATTAAAACATAAAAATAAGTTCTAATGTTCAAAGGATGAATTCATTACATCAGAACTTGGACTTCTCCCTGGCATATTATTTTGGATAGGGAGGAAAGATAGGAAGAAGGGAAATGTATTTGTTTCTATGCTTTAAACTCCTAGAGGACAGGAAGCCTGCCTGTGGCTCTTGAGTATGCTTCACACTCACTGAATCTAATACTACGAATTGTGAGTGATCCATATAGGATTACAACATTTTCACACACAGTTCCTCTTTTCTGAACATTCTTTTAGGAAGCTGTATGAGTCACAGATCATTTTATCATGCATTTTTTTTACAGTTTTTATTTTTTATTAGTACATAATGATTACATTCCTCGTGGGGAGTGGTGCAGGTACCTAACACATCTCAAGTCTTTTTTCAGTTCCTCCACCATCTCTCAGTTCCCCATCTCATTAGCAAAAGACCTGTCTCCCTATTTCCTTTTATTTTGCTCTTTATTTATAGTTTGGATTTATTATATAAGAGAAATCATGTGATATTTAAACGAACTTAAATTTATTAAAAACAATGGTTTTAAGAAAAATTAGAAGTAGATTATGAACATCGCAATTATACTACAAGAACTGTCATAAGAACTCCATTTGTGATGATATCTTATATTTCTATGGCACTGCAGTTTCATTTTCAACAAAATTATGCCACTTATTTTGGTATCCACAACCTGTGACATAGCCAAAGAGGATTTTATGATGGAGAAATGCAGCCTCTAAGAAATCTAATGAGGAATCCAAATTCAAATGGACAGAAAGTCACCCAAAAAGTGCAAGTTCTTAAAATCTCACTAGCATATACAAAATCTCTGTGAGAGTCTCAGTTTCTAGATCTTTGCAATATTATACATTATCATTCTGTTATTGGAACAACTTATTTTACATAAAAGAACTCCCCAATTACCCAATGTCTCTGAATTTTAACATTACTATCTTGTCTTCTGGGAGAATTTAGTTTAAATAGTTTAAATAAGTGAATCTCAGACATTATCTAACTTTGCTGATCTTTAGTTTTCTTGTTCATAAAACAAGGAAACATAACTTTAGAATACTGTTGTGGATAGACATAAATGGATATTGCTAAGAGATGCTATTGTTTGAATTAGAACAGTCCCTGCAAAGTCCCCTGTGTTGGAAAGTGCTTGGATCATGGGAGCACTATGCTCCTCAGTGGACTGGTGCACTGATGGGTTTCTGGAAGATGTGCTGTCAGGAGGTAGGTTATGGTTGGAAGAGGTGGGTCACTGGGGTACTGGACAGGCATATCTCTCTTTTTGGCCTCTCCTCTGTTCTTTGCTTCCTGGCTGCCAAGACATAAATAGCTTCTCACTGTGGTGCCTTCTTTCATGCCACTTTTGTGTTTGAATCTGCCGACTATGGACCAAAACTTTTAAAACTAAAACAAAATAAATCTCTTTTCTAAATTGTGGATATCAGGCATTTTGTCTCAGCAACATGGAAAGTGACTAAGACAAATGTATTATCTGAACATAATAAGTATCTATAAATTATTTTTTCTTCCACTATCATAAATTTCTGAGGAATAGGAACCGAAAAAAATTTATTATTGTTTTTTACACTTCAAGGCCCCTAGCACATTGCCTGGTGATTGAAGAAGGAGAATCAATACATCTTAATTCTTGTCATTAAATGATTACATTTACTGAGTTCTCTACAATATTGAGTATTCTACTCACGCTATAACTTTATAGCTGTTTTTAATGTCATGCATTGTTGAAGAAAAGGCTGAATTTCAGAAATTTATGGCATATAAGAATAACAAAATGTAAGGGGAATATAGAAAAGGCACACAAAAAATGTTAAAACTGGGCTCACAGAGCCTTACATGCCTTGCACAAAGCCATGCATTTTTAAGTTGGCAAAAGAAATTCAAAGCAGTTAAAACAATGGGCTTCCACAAATAGAATGTCTTTGTTTATCCATGGGTCACATAAAGTGCAAGTAAAAGGGGAAGCTTTCTGTTTGGCCAGGCAATGCACAGCAGCAGGCTTCTGACCCACACACAGCCCAGGCCGGCTCCTTCTCGCTTTGTTGAGAACTTGCATTCCACACACTGAATTGTTAACCCTGGCTTCTGGCTGATGAGGTAACATTTGTAAGCTACCAGAAGAGAGAGGAGGAACCTAGAAGACTATTAGAGAGGAAGGTAGGGTGGAGAAAGCAGACCAGGCAAAAGCAGAGTATCTTCTGATGCCTGCTGCATTTGACCAGTTAGAGGAAAAGCGGAACCATTCATGATAGTGCCAATTAAGTGTTGGCATCACACAATTTACTCTTATTATGAAAGGTCTCATGGACTCTAGGAGGTTCATTAAGAAATCAGTAAATTCATTACTTTATTCTACAAATAATCTTTAAATATCTCTTAGTGTTGTGCTCTATATTAAGGGCTAATAATTTACAGATTATTAACACATAATCTATTAGCCTCACAAGATGTTCCCTGGAAAAGGAGCCTAAGACATGTAGGAAAATCCTACATGCTGTACCTTATGCATGGTGATTCCCAAGATACATTAGTAGTTTCTTAGGAACATTGAAGAAAAAAAATCCAAACATTTGGCTCTGTTTAACTTAGGGTATATACAATATATTTATCCAGGAAAACTTTTCCTCATATATCAACTGTTAGCATCACCTGATATATCTCAGACCATCATTAAGAAACTGCTTTTCATTCAACAAAAAGCAAACTAGGAAAACATTAAACATTTCATTTACCACACAATGATAAAAAATAACTCTAAGTTATATATCTGTAAAAGCTTGTCTCGTTTTCTGATAAATTCTTAGTGATTAGAGACAGGTGGGGACTCTTTTACTAAGCATCTACTACAGTACCATGTACAGAGAAGTTTTTTAGGGAACCCGGAGTGTGTTAGTAGTCTGGTACCTTTCAACATGCCTCTTCATAGAGGAATGAGCTGGTGTGGCTGGTGACTGTGCCATGCAATCCTCTGGATGTCCCTTATTACAAAAATACATTGTTCTATGACTATCTACATCTGCCCTAATCTATTCTAGCAATGTTGACACAATCATGATGGCAGTTTTTAGGACATATTTCTATGTTACTGACAATTCTAAAAGGCCTGCTTTAAAACATAGGTAGCCTCTCTCCTAGTTAAATAAACAAGCCTTTTATTGGGATCGTATATTCTCTCATATACACATATGAGTTACAAATGGCCTTTCCCAAAAAAAATTTGATGAAGGATTGTACCTAAAAGATTTTCTTGTAAAAATCCACCTAAATATGTATATTCTATATCCTTGTATATTTTATATTAAATTTTAAAATCTTGCCATTTGTAACTGCTCTGTATAACTTACTGGTATATCAGAGAAAGGTGATAATGCAAATACTTTGAAAATTTAGGATGTCCTATTCTGATATATGAGTTTATCTTATTTTTAGATCTGTTGATAATTTCACGATTTTAAGGAATCTTCCCTCTGAACCAATAGGAGTAATATTTTGTTTTAATTATTTTAAATGAAAGGGTCATTACTGTTAACAAAATTGACTCTGTCTAAATAAAAATTTACCAACATTGAAGAAATTTTAATGTTATATTTTAAATCTTCATGCCAATTTTATTTCCCCTTAAATATTTTATCTTCATATGTACTTGGTTAGAAAATCCTATTGTCCAAACACCCTATGTCTCTGATTCTAAGTAGAATAACTTTTCATACTTTAATACGTATAAAAGCAGACTAAATCTTTTTAGCACAATTATTATTGTGCTAAAGTCTCTCTCACACAGGCTATAATCATGCTACAGCTATCTTTGCCCACACTGGTGCCAACATCAAAACAGCATCAAATTGGAAAAATGCATGTTAGCGGCTTGGAAGAAAATTCCAAAATCAGAGTGGAACATACTCATTTAACTCCTAAGAATCAAATGATTGTTGGGATTGTGGGGGAGATGAGGAATCAGAGATGTTCAACAACATTCCCAAAGAGGAATCCAAAGCTGTTTAGCACTACAGAATTGCAAATGTGAATCCGGAGGCCAGCACCAAGACTTCTGCTTCTTGCCTACTATGAATCGCTTTTACATTCTTCCTGTAACAGCCAACATGTGAAAAAATAGAATAAAACTATGGTTTTTAAGATACTGAACATCAGGCAAAGATGTACAGCAATTCTTGAGAGTCAGGAGATAAGATATTGCCCCAGAGAGCAATATAGTCTTGAGAGTTTCTTGGTGGTAGCTATGGAAAAGAGGACGGGGCGGGGAGGTGGGGGGAGCAATTGGGAGATTCTCTGAATGGAAGTGACAAAGATTAGAGCCCAGGGAATCAAAGTAGTTAGGATTTGTGAGACAAACTACTGAGAAAGAGGGAGAGCTTTACACAAATATAGCTCTAGAAACCTGAGATGATCCTTTTTAAATATTCAGAAGCATAGTGATCAATACCAGAGTGTGAGGAAGCTATTTTAGGCTGGGGGAAAGTACAACCAGAGAATTACAAAGAAGAGAACATGACGTTCACTCATGGCTGAGGACAGTGTCTTATCTCACCAGCCAGACAGGAGAACTTTATGATTCATGGAATATTGAGTATTTCGAAGGGTCTTGCCTCAGTAAAAGGACACAATTAACTCTA